GCCCCCCAGCTGTCGATGTGTCGTGGTTTCCCCGCCCGAAACTGCACGGGGGTCCTAGTACGGGACCGTGGGAAAGGCTTATTCCTTGCTACACCGCCCAAAATTCACCGCGCGCAAGTTGCATTTCGCCGCGCGCAAGTTGCATTTTGGGCGGTGTAGCAAGGAATAAGCCTTTCCCACGGTCCCGTACTCGGACCCCCGTGCAGTTTCAGGCGGGGAAACCACGACACATCGACAGCTGGGGGGCTGTTAGTCTCATACACCCTCAATGTGTTTGAGCGTACCATGTGTCTTTAAGCGTTTTAGCATAATGATGTTTACACTGCATTTTGCGAAGATGAGAGGGCGTGGCTGGGCACTTCTTTTGACCATGGCGTCGGGAGCGTTGTTTTGTGGAACATTTCTGTGCAAGGCATCTACCATCCTATCCTACGACGCCATGATTACAATTGTTTGGAACTAAAATCAAGTCATGAGAGGCGCGGCCGGACGTTCGAATGGAGTACGCAGCCACGCCCACTCCGTCTTCGAGATATGGGTGTGATTGTTGTGGGTTGGAACTCGAAACATTGTTTCGTTGCAAACTGGTTCTCACCCACTTAATGATGGCGAATCCGGCGGTACGACAAAAATTAGCGAACGTGTGATTCATTCTGAAACCCTGTAGTCATGGCCTCAGATAGACCCGGTTCGTAATTTTCGGGGGCGAATATTGTAATTGTGTAGTGCAGACTATCTCAGTTTGACAGCAAAAAACCACCTTAGTAGGTTTTTTTTGCAGAGCACATCGTGGCGTGACGATCGTCTCGTCTTGCCGTGCAATGTGATGTTACAAACATCTCCTATAATGAGATGAGAGAACTGCGTGTCAATTTAGAGATTCGCCGCGATAGTTTTTAGAAAGCTCTCAGTGACGTTATGTGACTTCAGTACTTGACAACTCTGACTAGTCGATTCTGAGAATCAGCTCCTGATGCTGTTGGAGGGGAGCAGTAATCTCCAAACCCGCTATACCGACACCATTTTGACATGGGGACATTCTAGCATCGGACTTGTTTACGACCATCATTGTAGGCAGAACCCGCGATTGTTCGCCATCCCAGGTAGTGATTGGGGTTCCATATAGACGACAAGGGGTTGAGTAACTCGACAGTGAAGAAAAAAGCACAAAAAACATGCCACCTGCCCTAGATAGAACCCCATTTTGATCCCAGTTTGTACGTGCCCAATTAACTCTATCTCCCACACTACGCCCTCATACGCACAGCTGATTCACCGATAAGAACTCTACGATCGTACAAGTGACGATTTTCATGCTTTTTCGTCCTGCAATCTCGTTTTTCACTGAAAGCCGGGCACTGAAAGCCGGGCATTGGAGGCGGAGTCTGGAGGCGGAGTCACTGGGAAAAAGGAGGAACCACTGAACCTATATTGCGCTATAGCGCCCCTCTCTAAGAATTTTTGTTGCTTTTGTTGCGAAACCAGTACAGGGTTGTTCGTCGCGGACCACTCTAACTTCCTTCTCTTCACTCCTTCGATACCTGATCGCGGACCTTGCCTTTAAGGGCAAGTGGCACGAAAAATCCAGGTGTGTGTGGGATAAATACGTACAGCAAGGCAGATTTCGGTGCCCCGAGCAGGCGCTGCTAGCCGTCCTTTTTCAACGAAGGTATCCTGATAGTGCCCTAGTAAGCTGCAGCATGCCGACCTGGACGCTCACCGCACCAGCTCGCCCACAAATGGCCGCACCGTCTGATTCCCTTATCGCTACATTTATGAAGTACAGTTGATATAGAGCGTTGCCATAAAGGTATATAGAAACATAAGTGCAGTCGTGTCTACCAAATCGGTTGAAGGCACGACACCAGCGAGAAACTCGTCCAAAAATACTCGTTCAATGCCGTGCAGAGCAAAGGTCTTTCGGAGGTTCTCTGCCATTTAGCGTCGCTTTTTCGCCATGTGCTACTGCTTGTGCTACTATTGTTGAGCAACTAGCGAAAAAAAACTAAACTGCTCGTGCCTTATGCCTTTAATTGCTGTTCTCTTCAGTCTTCAGACCTTTTGTTGTAGGCCGAACATTTTACTCGGTTGTGGATTCGGCCAAAATTTAACCCTGGAACATCGCGTCCAGTTGTAGCGGAACTGTCTGCTGCGCGGCATTGAGCAGTTTTGGCCCCCGGAGGCTCTAAACCAAGCGGATGTGGTATTTATGTGCACGGTCGAAGCGTCTCCGGACACAAAATTTCAGAGAACTCTGACCCTCTTGGAATATTTTCGAAAATCTGTCGTGACTTTCGTGGAGTGTGCAGTAAGGGCCAATAGGGCTAAATCGGGACTGTTCTTCTATTCTAATGTGATTGAACGACCAGGAAAATATGAGTAGAAATGGGTAGAAAGCTCAGCGTGCTAGAATTTTTTTTTTGCAAAGCAATAGCGTTTCGTTCCACTGCGTGACATTCTTCACTCTCCAGCCTTCCTTTTTTGTGCTGTGCGCTTTTCGATGGTTGAGAGCTGCGCTGGACAATTTGCCTTAATATTGGAGAGCTCATAAAATTTCCATAAAGGGCAAGATGTGCGTTTTGCGTGTGCTAATGAACGGCGGGAGAGAGAGGAAAAAAACAACTGTGTTCATGAAGAATTCCAGGAATTCCGAAATTTCAAGTATTTTTTCCAGCTTCGACTTCCTGAGAACGTAAACGAGGACATCCAAGAAGATCCAACAGCACTGCGTTCATTGTGGGATCGTGGACTGCTGAATGGTGCCTCACAAAAGGTCTGAGTAGCTTTATAAAGATACTGTAGGTGTTTCTAATAAAAAGAAGGTGTAATTAGAGGAATAGGGTTATTTGCAAGTCGCTGAATAGGATTCCTAATAGCTGCATTTCTCTAATTCCTGGTTGAAGTTTTTTACGTCTGTTCTCGAAGAGTCCCTGGAGAGGCTTCTAGTCCTATCCTTTCTTCTAAACTGAGTCGAGAGAGGGAAGCTCGAATGGTTAGAGTTGGGAAAGGTAGAGAAACTTTCCCAAAAGGCCGGTCCGAGCTAAATAAGGTAGAAAAGTGTTCCCAAAAAGGATTCATGACGCAGGGGATGATGGTTTGTATGGGGCGGCGGGAACTGTTCACCCTTCTTTGAGGATGGACGCACTGATGAGGGAAGCCCAGTGGTTGTCTATCCCCACCCATTCGATCGTTGTGAGCTGTGGAAGCGCGACAGGTACCTAAAAAGCACCTACAAAAGGATACAAATTGTAGTACCAACTACAAGGACGTTCTTATAGGTTAATATAGTTTACTTAAAAATGTGGCATTATTAGTGGTCTTATTAGGGGCCGCCATAGAGCTCTCTGTTGCCGTGGACTCAGGGCAAATTCTTCGAGCAGGGAGTTTCTAGCTCATCGTTAGTCGGTCCTTTCCAAAAGCAATCCACGCTGATCATGTGGGCGGAGTGAGACCCACCATTGTGCCTTCCTCGTGCAACCCTCCTATTTCCATATTGGAAAGAAGGGCGACTGTAATGAGAGGTGTACACTCAGGGTATAGCATCCTTGTGTGGAACACATGGGGGGGGTCGTACTTTTGCTCTGGGGACGGGTTGTATTTGGGGTCGTCGTCGGCGAAAAAGCCGTGGAGGTGGAGGGGGGGTCGTGCCTGGACCCCATTCGAAGGGGGGGGGGGTCGTACTCACACCGACATTTCGCACATCCCCATGCTGTACCCTGTGTACACTAGTAGATTTGGATTCGAACATACGATTGGCGAGGATTAGCCTACCCCGTGCCTATCCGTGCTCCCATACGGAGCAAGTACCATTGTATTTATGGTCCTGACTGAATCCTGGTTTGGCCAGGGAGCTCACCATTGGGTGTAGGGGCGGAAAAGTATTGAAATAATAACTCTGAGTGGGAATTCCATAATCGTCCTTCGCGCTCTAGCTTCCCGCCTTGGTAAAAAGAACAAGTAAATTTCTTAGCATCTGTCCTTATTTAATTGAAGAAATCTGAGGGGCGACCACTCAATCTGAGGATCCGATCACGACTGAACAGTCTCTAAAGAAAAATCGTTGTCCGAAAAAACGCCCATTTGTACATTCTTGTTCACTGCAGATGAAGGGGCGGACCAGGCGGGAGGGGTTCGGCATGGCGCCAAACCTGTTTACCATCACTTGTTGGAGCGAGCAAGCGACGAAGCTGTATCATATCGTTCGCACTGGTCGTTTTCCACCAATTGTTGTGGCTAACCGGCTTCAACAACTGGTGAGAACGGGTCTGGCGCGCGCCAACCCCTCCCTCCCTGACACGCCCCTTCACCCGATGCGAACAAGACTGTATAACAGCGTTAAATTGTGTCACGAGGAGTGTGTAACAGACAATTCTGCTGTAACCTGTTACAATGGGAGCAAAGATCTTAGGTAGTTGATTGTAATGTAGGAGACGTTAGTTCCTGGTTAGTAGTATTTCAATTGGACATGCAGGTAAACAAAGAGGAAATTACTAGTTAAACATTTTCATTCGTAATGTTCAAGTATCAGGACGGGATTGGAGAGGTTTAGCTGAGGGAATTCGGCGATGCTAATGTTCTCCCAGTAAGCGAGATATGGGTGTCTAGTATAATCCTCCAACATGAATTATTAGTGAGGGTGAGAAAGGTTTTGCGACTTTCGTAGCTTTTGTGGAGGCCCTTTGAAACCATTTCTGGACACATTTTTCTGATGGGCAGGATGGGTGGGGCTGGCGGTTGCTGCCAATGTCATTGGTGGATGGGAGGTGGCCAAACGCCCCTCGCAGCCCTTCCACCAGTGACGTTAGCAGCAACAGCCCGCCCTTAGCCATGGTGCCCACTGCTCTTAGTTCAGCTTTTAAAGCATTCGAATCACGTTTCCTCCAGCGTTACAAGCTGCATTACGAAATCACGTTTCCTCCAGCGTTACAAGCTGCTTAAAGGCACAATCCTCGATAAACGAAAGGCCGGGAACTTATAACCACTGTGACTTCCTTGACGGTGCACTTCCTTTAATGAGGTCTGATGACGTAAGTGGGAGGTGCGCAGTGGGAGTGGGAGGTGTGAGGTGGTGGTGAGGAGGGCGTGTGGTTGTAAGTCTCCACCCATCTTGTTATCGCGAAATTGTGTTTAAATGGCCATTCGCCGTGGGTAGGCCCATTTACCCATGGAGTTGAATTGATTACTCAATTATGCTGAACATATGCATACGCTGAAAGAGTTTACACCTGTTTCCGGAGAATTCCCACTAATTCTGCGGACTTTAGGTCGACCAGGTGGCGGTGTTCTACACGGGTGATCTGGTGACGTCACTACAGAAGACGTCACTGGTTCCTGGAGCGAATGAGTGCGTAATTTATACGACAATTGGTGGAGCAATTGGAATACTGGTGCCGTTTATCTCGAAAGACGTGAGTAGTCACAATATTATTCATTTTTTCAATTTTTTCAAAGAAGGGGCACATTAGTAATGAGGATTTGCAGATTAAAAAAAGCAAAAAGTGTTTGAACAGTAGAAGGAACCCTTGACGAAATACTTAGCCGACTTAGTAGGAAAAGCGCACTTGAACGAACATCAAAGCTTGACTTTATTTAGATTTTTCAGTTTCCTCTTCCAGGGCACAAAAAGCGTTTTCTGCTAGGCACAAAGATGGTTTCAGGTTTTTGAGTGGCGTCCTTTTCGCCCCTGCGATATTCCAAGAAGCTTCAACTATTAGTGAGGAGTTATGGGAAAAGCTTCTTGGAGTAGATGCAGAGAGGAGACGCGGTGGGCATAATTAAGTTCTGAATAAGACAGAATAATAAGACGGAATTAAAGAGCGAGAAAAGCGTTTTCTAGGAGCTGGCGACATTAACAGGAAAGCTATGAGATGTGCAATTGAGGGTAGTGCACTTGGGAGGGGGGAAGGTCGAGCGTCGCATCATGGCATCAGAAACCACGAAGGGACAAGGAGGGATAAAATGTTGCGTGGTCAGTGCTCAGCCCATGAAGTTATTCCCAGTGTTATACTAGTGAGGAGGAGGGGTAGAGTCAGACATCAGTACGTCAGGGCGATAATGGGGAGCCCCCTCCCCAAGCCAGCTAGAGACGCGAGCAGGTACAGCATCGTTGTGTGGAACATAGGGCTGGTCGTACTTGATCGATATTGGGAGAGGGGGGTCTTATGTGGCTTTGACAGAAATTTGCCGCGTTGGGAAAAGTAATCTTTCCCGGTTGTTGACTTTTCGCGTAATTTAATTTTCCTGTTTCACTATTTACCTTCCCCTCCCCCCCCTCGAGACAGCGAAATTTTTGGGGGAAAGTAGGAAAATTTTCGGGAAATTCCTGAAAAGTGGTAGGAAGTTGAGGAAACTCTAAGAAATTTTCCCGTTTCACATGGGCTTATTCCCCCACCCCTGCTCGATGGAAAATCTCTGGGTGAAAACTGGAAAATGTGGAAATTGGTAGGTAGGTGCTGGGGAAGGTGGGGGAGGGAGGGTCGTACCGAGACCCTCCCTCGAGAGGGGGAGGGTCGTACTGGCACTACCGTTTCACACATCACGATGCTGTACCCTGGGCGCGAGAACGTGATTTCGATGGAATGGGAACAGAGAGACGACAGAACCGTCTGTTAAAAAGCACCGTATGTATATTGAGGCCTGGTGAGCGGGCGCGAAAATCTTACAGGAAAGATGAAGGGACGTCGCGGGTAAGGACCCTAAAGACCTCAGCAGAAGATGCATTGAATAATAAGGAGTAGTATGAGAAGAGCAGCAGACCTAGCCATGGCAAGGAATCAACGCTGAGAAGTAGAAAACATTGTTAGAGTACGTACTCTCATGATCTCGGCAATAACGGGGCGTGTGACGGAGGCATGGATTGGGGCGCAGCCGG